AGGAGGGGGTCGATCCGGAATGCCAGCAAGGAGGGGGTCGATCTAATATCTGCAGGAAGGGCATTCCACAGCCGAGGGGCCACCACTGAGAAGGCCCTGTCTCTCGTCCCCGCCAGGTGTGCTTGTGAAGCTGGTGGGATTGAGAGCAGGGCCTCCCCAGACGATCTTAATGTCCTAACTGGTTCATAGGAGATGCGTTCGGACAGGTAGGTCAGGCCAGAACCGTTTAGGGCTTTAAAGGCTAAAGCCAGCACTTTGAATTGTGCCTCATGGTCTATTTTCCCCCAAGAGCGCCTCAAGAGCGCCCCTGGGCAAAATCAACTATACTGCAAATACTTACTTTGCGTAATGGGTTGAGCCGCCCCTGACTAGATCCTTTCCTTTTCCTCCTCTGTTTCAAAGTTTCATACAGCTTTTCAGAACAGAAAAGTTCTCAGCATTCAATTAAAAAGTTATGAGAGATTTACACTGTAAGACCTCCATTATTGAATCCATAAATATCAACCAAGCCGAATTCGGCTCCCAATTAAAGAATAAAAATGTCAAGCCCAGTTAGTCTTTTTGGTAAATGCTAACTGAACATGACCACCGATCAGTCAAAATCCATTTTAATATCTGATTTGTACAACTAATTATTATTGTCCTTTGTTTTAACCAGCACTGAGCAGGCAGAGCCTTTCCTTACGTTACAGAAAGTATGATTCTCCAGATTCTTATATAAATATCATATTAATCCCAGGGAGCTATTTATCAATAGAATCATAGAATCCAAGAGTTGGAAGAGACCTCCTGGGCCATCATCCAGTCCAACCCCATTCTGCCAAGAAGCAGGAATATTGCATTCAAATCACCCTGACAGATGGCCATCCAGCCTCTGTTTAAAAGCTTCCAAAGAAGGAGCCTCCACCACACTCCGGGGCAGAGAGTTCCACTGCTGAATGGCTCTCACAGTCAGGAAGTTCTTCCTCATGTTCAGATGGAATCTCCTTTCTCTGTAGTTTGAAGCCATTGTTCCGCGTCCTAGTCTCCAGGGAAGCAGAAAACAAGCTTGCTCCCTCCTCCCTGTGACTTCCTCTCACATATTTATACATGGCTATCATATCTCCTCTCAGCCTTCTCTTCTCTAAACATGCCCAGCTCCTTAAGCCGCTCCTCATAAGGCTTGTTCTCCAGATCCTTGATCATTTTAGTCGCCCTCCTCTGGACACATTCCAGCTTGTCAATATCTCTCTTGAATTGTGGTGCCCAGAATTGGACACAATATTCCAGGTGTGGTCTAACCAAAGCGGAATAGAGGGGTAGCATGACTTCCCTAGATCTAGACACTATGCTCCTATTGATGCAGGCCAAAATCCCATTGGCTTTTTTGCCGCCACATCACATTGTTGGCTCATGTTTAACTTGTTGTCCACGAGGACTCCAAGATCTTTTTCACACGTACTGCTCTCAAGCCAGGCATTGTCCCCATTCTGTATCTTTGCATTTCATTTTTTCCTGCCAAAGTGGAGTATCTTGCATTTGTCCCTGTTGAACTTCATTTTGTTAGTTTTGGCCCATCTCTCTAATCTGTCAAGATCATTTTGAATCCTGCTCCTGTCCTCTGGAGTATTGGCTATCCCTCCCAATTTGGTGTCATCTGGAAACTTGATGATCCTGCCTTCTAGCCCTTCATCTAAGTCATTAATAAAGATGTTGAACAGGACCGGGCCCAGGACGAAACCCTACTTCTGGCACTCCGCTCGTCACTACTTTCCAGGATGAAGAGGAAGCATTGGGGAGAATCACCCTTTGGGTTCGTCCATTTAACCAATTCCAGATCCACCTCACCGTAGTTTTGCCTAGCCCACATTGGACTAGTTTCCTTGCCAGAAGGTCATGGGGGACCTTGTCGAAGGCCTTCCTGAAATCCAGGTACGCTACATCCACAGCATTCCCTGCATCTATCCAGCTTGTAACTCTATTAAAAAAAGAGATCAGATTAGTCTGGCATGACTTGTTTTTGATAAATCTATACATAATATGTGCAGCATGTCTCTTAAAATACTGCAGTTTGATTTTCAGAGCCATTCCTCTATGAAGGGAAAGAGTTAAATTGTAAAATGATTTTTTTCAAAGGACAGCAATTGAGGTTGACACTGGAAACTCAAAAGAGTCTGCCTGGAGCCATGCCATATATCAACGTCAGCAGAATGAAATATGGCTCTTGCTACATTTTGTTACCGAACTGGGCTTTAAACCTGACCTATTCCGGGGCAGATATGTGCTTTTGCTTTCTGGTGCTATGCATGTTCTTAAGTCCCTTTGCAGATCACCTTCCACTGGAGGTTTGTCACAAATCATCCCACAAATAGGAATGGAGAAAATACAGCTCCAAAATCACCAATGCACTCCCTGCAAACTATACTTGACCCTTGGCTGCCCTTTTCTTTCCACAAGTTGCTCCTCTAGAAACAACCATGAGCAACAATACAACTTTGAAATAGCACCGTCCCAGACTTTTTCACATGAAAAAAATATATTTTCAAGTAGATATGCATTCTGTGGCACTCCTCTTTGGGACAATTGAGAGGCGTTTTGGACATCACAGTGAAACTACGGGAAAGTCCTGAGAATAATAACAAATCCTACTTAAACAACCAAATGGGTTGAGTGGTCACTCTCTGAAGGCACATCGGAAGAGCCAAGTTTTTAGATCTTTCTTAGAAACAGCTAGGTTAGGAGCTTGTCTGATCTCCCTAGGTAGCGAGTTCCAGAGTCGGGGGGGGGGGGTCACAGTGGAGAAGGCCCTCTCCCTCTTTCCCATGAGTCGAGCCTGTGAAAGAGGAAGGAACAAAAGAATGGCCTCCCCAGAGGATCGAAGAGATTGTGCAGGTTTGTGCATAGCACCAGAACATGCATAGCACCAGAAACCAAAAGGAAATGCAGTCACAAAGGTAGGTGGGTCCCAAACCATTCAGGGCTTTATAGGTGGTGACCTGCACCTTGAATTGGGACCGGAAGATGAACGGCAGCCAGTGGAGCTCCTTAAACGGGGAGGTTGAGCACTCCCTGTAATTTGCCCCGGTTAGAAGTCTGGCTGCCGAGCTTTGGACCAATTGAAGTTTCCGGGACATCTTCAAGGGAAGACCCACATAGAGTGCATTACAATAGTCCAGTGTAGAGGGTCTAAGGCATGGACCACTGTTGTTAAGTCAGGCTTCACGAGGTATGGTCGCAGCTGGCGCATGAGTTTTAATTGTGCAAAGGCCCTCCTGGTCACCGCCGACACCTGCGCATCAAGCATCAGCGCCGAGTCCAGGAGGACCCCCAAGCTGCTGACCTGTGCCTTCAGCAATGATGGAATTGTACCAAACTTGGCACACAGAACCCCCATGCTTTGAAGGGACTCTTGGGCATGAGCCTGCCTTCAGCATGGCACGCTCTCGCTTGACTGCAAATGAGCCCCACACTACCATGCACCAAGCACGCCTGCTCTCCCCTCCCTGCTTGGAGTCTCAGAAATGGCCCTTCCTGGCCTATTGCAGTGGAGGAGGGCTTTTGGTGGAAGAATTCACTGCCTGTTTCCAAAAAAGAAGAGAAGGCCCCCAACCATAACATTACTTTTGTTGCTTCTTCATATCTGTAATTTTGATACTGTTATGAATTGTAATGTAGTTATCTGATATGCAGGATGTATTTTCATTCACTGGACTAAATTTGGCACAAATACCCAATTCAACCAAATTTGAGTACTGGTGGGCTTGGGGCAGGGGGAGATGATTTTATTATTTGGTAGTTGTAGTTGTTGGGATTTATAGTTCACCTACAATCAAAGCGCATTCTGAATCCCACCAACGATAGAATTGGGCCAAACTTCCCACACCAAACTCCCATGCCTTGAAGGGACTCATTGGCACTGTTGGAGTGGTTTGCAAAGTGTAACAGCTTTCCTAAAGAGGTTATAAACAAAAGTGTATAGAGCAGTGGACGCAGCGTAGTGTGTCGTATGTCATACGTCACTCTGGAATGCAGGAGGTGTGAACTGATACTGATAACAGCGTGTTCTCTGTGTTCGTGATGTAGCTACTAGGCATGGGTAAGTACAGTCGTTATCTTCTTAAATTGGAATTATTTTGGAAAAAAATACCTTTTGAACCAATTTTGAGCCATGCAGGAATAGTGGGAGGAGTAATTCTGAATTTAAACCACTTACCCATT